GTGTGAAGTTTGAACTTGATCAATCCAGACATGTCTCGGATACGGATCCAGAACTGAATTCTTTAAAACAAAATGGCCGCCAGTCGGCCATTTCGAACCCGATCCAAAAAAAAAAATGACGTGCATCAAGGTCCTATTATGTTTAATGTATGTACCAAATTTGAACAAAATCCGTCCATGCATAACTGAGATCCGGGTCCGGAATGGTGAAAATGTGCGATTTTGATGCATTTTCGGCCTTAAAATGGCCGCTATTCGGCTATCGTTAATCGGATCATGAAAAAAATGCATGTGCATATGTCCCATATAAGGTGTGATGTATGAGTGAAGTTTGAACTTAATCGGTCCATGCATGTTCAAGATACAGGTGATCACGGACGCACGGACGCACGGACGCACGGACGGACGGACGGACGGACGCACACAGGGCAAAACATAAGTCCCCGTTTTCGGACTGCGTCCGAACGGGGACTAAAAAGATGTGCATCAGTAAGCAATGTTATTTTGTGGTTCAGAAACACTTTTTTGAATGCCACAATTTTGGCGCAACATTTTACTCATTTTTAGGAATTATCACATAATATCCCTCATAATGTTTTGTAATACCATACCCCTTTCTATAACCCTAACACAAAATTTGAATTGAATCACAGATTGCGAATCTCAGTTTTGTGATGGCCTTTAAAGATAGAGAAATAGAGTTGTTCCACACTTACCATTGAGCTGGGAGGCAAGTGGATCATTTACATCAATGGCAAGCATCTTCCAGTCTGTCTCGCCTATTAATAACACAGTAAATGAATCTTGGATTTATAAAAAGATGTTTGCAAAGAATTTCACTAGAAATGTGTCCAGTTTTCCAGTACACTGACGAGGTGATATTAATGAAATATACGATTTTATGTGCACTGCTTTGTTATAGAAGCGCATGTGTATGCGTAAATGAACTCCAGAAAATGCTGACATCAATAAATCAGTGCAAATTTGGTGCTTATTCCCTTAAAAACAATATATTCAAGATGTACATTTCAGGCAGAATGGTACTCCTGCATGTTGCACATAGCAGTGACAAAATTTACAAATGTTTGTAAAACATGGACATTTTTTATTCTTACACAGACACTGAAATTGTTTGTTTATGTTACTGAGACAATTTTCTAAATTATGATGAAATACAGTCACCATAGTAATGGATTAGAAAATCACATTTGAACACTAACCTTCATCAATCATCGCCATGGTTCCGAGTAGTTTGACTTGTACAACATCACCACGATTGGCAACCTACATAAAAATCATACATTCCGAGTGAAACCAAACTTTTCTAAATGATGCACTTCTTTCCCTCAAAGATCACAAACCCTTTAAATTTGTGTTCATTTTTTAATAGATTTCATGATAGACGAAATCAGATATTTGGATCAAATTTTCTTTTAATTTGAGAATTGCCTATTAAACATTGTGAGTGTAGCAAATATCTGAATTTTAACAATTAGAGCACACTTTTTATTAAAATTTTGGTGCATCAGTTTGCCTATTTTTAGGTATTTTGTACATTTTGGATTATTTTGGAACAAACCAACATTATTTTAGCTAATTAAAATTCTGATTATTTTTAGCATGAGTCAAATTTTCTAAAATGGCATTTACCTATAACCAATGTGGTTTGCAGTACTGGATACAGCATTGTGATATACCAGTAATACATCTTAGGCGTGCAAGTATTATACATGCATGTATATAATGAAAACTACAATGTTCTCGACCAATGGAACGGTCTGATTTTGTAGAGTAATGATGTTAAACATATCATAATGTAAAACTGTAAAAGGATCATTTATTCACTGGGTTTTAATTTTGCTTATTTCGCTGACTGGAAAATGCGCTAAATTAAAACCCAGTGAATATTAAAATTTAGCATAGAACACATTATCTAAATGACAAAACTGAATTTAAATCCCACTGAATATGCCTGAAATGGTAAATCAGTGAAATTTAAACCCAGTAAAAATTAGTCATCTTACAGTAATAAAATATGAACTGTAAGCTTTGGATTATAATCCAACAGTTAGTCAGAAAGCAGTCACTATAGATTCATGTGAACCAAAGAATTGTGCATTACATTTATGATAGCACATGTGTCAATAGGTAGCACTGCACTTGTATTTCATTATTTCAGTATTTCATTTCCATAAGGGATATATACTTTGACGTAGGTGAATAATTGTGAAAACAAATCTTTATATACCACGAAGCTTACAGTTAAAAATTGTTTAAGTGATTTTAATGTTCGTGATCTTGGTGGCAATCTATACTGCAGCGCAGTGTGATGCAGCCTGATTCAATAGTCCAAAGACGATAGTACAGTACTGTAAAATCTGTATTAAAAAATGCGGCTTTTATTAAAATGGTACAATGCATTAGAAGGGATGCGGCTTCTGTTAGAGCACCTACACATATGAGAAATGACGAATTTTTGGTTCTCAATTATTCTAAAAGACTGGGTGTGACTTCTAATAGGGATGCGGTTTCTAATACAGATTTTATGATAATAGGAGATATTTATCCTTTTTCATTTTGAATGTCATGTAACATGTACTGACCCTGCTGTTGACCTAGTTGCATGGTGGTTTACATATTTAAATTGCATGCTTCATTTTTAGTGTGTTACAAGCGATTACAGTCAAATATTGTGATTTTTTTCTGATTGTCATTGTGATATGGTTTGCGAAATATGTCGGTATTTCTTGGACTTTCATAATATTAGAAATATTGCAAAATTAGAATGGATTGTCACTGTAAACAGAGGTTATAATGTGAGTAAATCCCTTGGTTCTCTTCCAATAAGCATGGCATACTAGAATACAAGAGATTACAATATCCTTACCCTATGTCCAATTTCACAAACATCAAGTGGGTCATTATCTCCCTTACATGATGTATGGGCGTCGACATGGTTCGGGTCCTCCCATGTCTACAATAACAAAAATAAAAATTATTATTATACATCAAACACAATCAGCTTCTACATTAACATTCCATAAAATGGTATGTTTGCTTTGACTCATAATGTATTTGTACTCGCCCCCAACATCGCCTTAACCTTTTCATCACCAGATTTTCTCACTTAAATTTGTCTGTACTTTTTTCTCATATTCTTATATTTATGGAAAAGAATCGAAATTTTTGGAGCCAACAGACAAAATTTGAGTCAATTTTCAGTTTTTACTCAAAATTTTTGGCTCTTTTTCTCTCAATCTTCTGAAGAGAAGTGCAGATTATTTTGTGAATTTGTGATGAAAAGAGGGGATTGGTGTAAAATGGTTAAGTTCCAGATTATTTATGCCAGATTCAAACATGTTCATTTACATTTACGCACCAAGGCTATAGCATGTGATGCAAAGTTATTAAACGCAAAAAGTTCGCACAGACGCAAATCAACATTTTTTCCTAAATTATTTTTACAAGGAGGGGAAATATACAATAATAAGTTTGCACTACAATCATAGACTTGCCAATTATGGAGACCATGAAAATGAGTGCCTTACATGTCGATGCCTCACATTGAATATCTTGATTTTTTAACAATATTAAGGCATTTTTAGAAATTTTGGCTTGAAGTTGGATACCCTCAAAACACTGAAGTTTAAGACATGCAGAGGGAATTGAGAGTGTTACGCCACGAAATGATCTAATCTAAAAGGTGTCCACTCAAGGTACATGTATGTACCAAATATCAATCAATCAAACTGACAGTCATCGAGAAGACAAATAGCATTTTGACCAAAAATTACAAAAATATTTGCTAAAATTACAGAATTGAAGATATTGTCCTATAGGCCAGTTTTTCCCTCAATGTCAAAGTTCAATTCTGTAAACAAATGACTTACCTGAGGAAAAGCACCATAATTCCATATATAGCCGTGATGTGGGAAACAATTCTTTACATAGCGTAGTTTTCCTTTTTTGATATCTTGTTTAATCGGGTTCATCTTTGCTGTGGTAGCAATCTAGAATTACAAATGAACATAATAACCTTTCAGAAATTTCATCTCCAGCAATATAAATTTTTTCATCTATAGTTGTATTTCTATAATGACACTATAAATGCAAAGCGTGCATCTTAAGTATACCTTTTGAAAATTTCACCTCCTAATAAGGCGACACAAACTGTTTCATTATCAAAAAACATTTTGTGTTTCGTCCTTCTATACTACCATTGAAAAATCCAGAAAACAAGTCATGAGTGCTCTCTGACAGATAACAGTCAGATAAATCAAAGAGGAGCATGTTTGTCAACAGAGTTTTTTTTGATTTATCAAATTCTGTGTTTTATATATGCTTTGACTATGTATGTGTGCATAGTCATTTGTACACAAGATTGTGGTGTGTTTTTTTTCTGATTGACTGCATGGCTAGTTATATGAGTGCATCAAGCCAGTGGGTTAATAGATATCCAAGTCACTGAAGTGGTAGCATGCATGCAGGCTCTGATATGGCATTGAATCAAAGACTTTGGGCTCATGCAAGTCTGGCTGACTGTTGTCTTGTGTAAAAAAAACTAAAATACTCTCACCTCCATTTTGGCATTGCTCCAACGTGGCACTTCTACAACCATATTGAAAGTGGTTTTCTGAAAAGAATACAAAACAAATTAAAGTGCATGAAAATGTTACTTTTTAGCATACGCACCCACAATAGACTAATAATGTAACATTCAACACCTTGGCTACAACAAATTTCAAAATATAAATTATTTTGAAAGAATCGTCATCATTTGAATACATCATCCACAAAAAGGTAAATTAAAAATCAGGATAAAATACTTAATAATAAATTTATATTATCATTAACACATTTTAATTGGTTACGTAAATCTGAAAATGTCTTGACTGTTATCTTCTTGTAATTAGCCATGTGGCTAAAAAGCTCAACAAATATTAGCCACAATGGCGAAAATGCAAAGTGAATGCAATTATTTACACCCTGTTATTGCAGGAATACAGAATTTTTCATTTATTTTCTTATAAATGGAGGATTACTCACCTCAGCGTCAGCATGCAATGGAATATCATGGAAAGGAGACACAATGCCGTTAGGACCCTCTGAAAGTAGATGCATAGTGAATTAAAAGAAGCTAGCATCAGGAAAATGTACACAGAACAGAAGGATTATCTTGGTGCCAATTTTGGAGCATTGAACACTATTTGCCACGTAGGTTTTTTTTCATGTTTTTTTTTTTTCATATTTTTTTTAACAATTTTGACGAATACCAATAAGAAATTATGTTCATGTGGTTCAAAATAAACAAATGAATTACAAAAACATACAAAAATGTGCAAATTATTGCATCAAAATATCTGCAGGACAAAAAAATATATAATTATCATTGGACAAAGACTGAGCATTGATAAGATTATCTTTGAAAATGTTAATAATTTTGTTGGATATCGTAACAGATTGTAGGATTTATTGTAAAATAGAAATGCAGTGATAGCAGTAAATAGACATGCGCATTTATTTTTTACAAAATCAAGTGCAAATGAACAAGCTTTTACATCGGACAAATACTGAAAGGTTTACTGTCAAAACAGCTTTTATTTTATGTACATTTCTCTTGGTACCAGCACATGTTGTGAGGCCAGTATTGCTGATATTTATACCAGTGTGGTTTTTTCAGCATATTCATCAAGCCAGTTTTATATTACTCAGATCTTCCAGCATTTGTTTATTTTCCCCTTTACTAAAATACTGATGTTACCGTAATCAGTTTTTTGTTGTCTCTACACAGAGAGCTTGACAAAGAGGCCTGTACCTTACTCCATGGAGCATTACTTTAAAGCCTAACGATTGGATCTCGACATTTGCTAAGCGAAGTACATATTACCATTTTTTTACCCATTTTATAAAATTTCAAAGTACTTTGAACTCACTAGACTTGGGTACACACATCATTGAATTTTTTTTTTATCTTTTGCGAGATTTCTCATGATATCGGAACAATGACTCATAAAAACTATGGTCACATGACTATATGGTTTTGATGACACTGATGTACCAAAACCTAGATAGTCCTCACTTATTTATGTACAGTGTACTATCTGTGATACAACTGTATGTACGTACTATGGAATTGGATCAGGCAAACAAAAAATTACAAAATTTGTGTTATAAATATGCAAAATAATAAATTGAGTATGGGTGGGGTGGAGTGTGAGTCTTTTGGTGCCCTGAGATAGACTAAAACTTCAAGGAGACATCAAATAAAATTGCCTTGATGACCAGTGAATTTGCCTTTTTGTCCTTTTAATACTTCTATGTTAGTCCTATAATGACAAGACAATTTTATGCTTTGAAAATGGCTGCCCTCTAAACTCTGAATTTCAATTCTTGCATCTACGGTAGTTGTAGAACATTGTCAACTGTCAAATTTTCACAAAAATGTTTGCTTTTTTTTTTTAGTATAATTAAAAAAAAGAAAATTTCCCAGTGCTACATAAACACTGCTACAAGTGCAGTACTAAAACCATAACATGACATTAAACTGAAAAATGTGACTGCTTAGTATGATGAGAATTAACCACTGAAGGCCCCTTAGTGGGGACATCTGTCTAATGTTTGGTGCTGGTGGTTATGTAAGGACACACAGACATGATGAATGTGATGCAAGTTTCAAATTACATAACTCCTATAGCATGACTAGCTCATTTAGGTTTCACTTCTGCTTCCAACAGAATAGTCAATATTAAACAGAATTGTTTTTTCGTTGAAATCAAAATTTTATCATGTCTGGAATGTGTTACTTATTTAAGTTTTGTTTATTATGTAGTAAATTGAATTATGATACTGTAAACATACATTGTATAATTAGCAATATGTTTTGCTGCAGACAAATCTTAATATATTTTGCATTGGGTGACTGGCAAAGGGTTAGCAAAATTGCAGCTAAGCATAATGACCATTCTTTACACACTGTACACACACTAGCCATTTTGAACACGAAACAATGTATTGACTTTAAGTATTTAAAAAAAATGTTGGATTTTTATTAAAATTATTGTAATTGCTCTATTAGTAGTGCATACACTTACATAAATACAAGAGGTGTACGTGTTTATGGTCGAAATAAGTTGTATTTAATGATTTCATATATAAGAATTGTGAATTTTGGTTTATATGTTTATATGAAAAACATGACAAATTCAAAAATCAGAAATGGATAAATTTGACCCTTTGCACACCAAAGCCAAGTTTATACACGTACCGATAGTCTTTTCCACATAAAATTTCAAACTTTTGGATCAAATCACATTTGCATCACATTTTGTTGGTTTGGTTCAAAATTTAGATTCAATTCAGTGAAAATTACATATAGAAACTGAAAAAAAATTTACCCCAATTTGAGCAGGA